TTTTATTTTTAATTCTCCAAAAACTTAAAATGGCTGCTGCTTAGTATCCAGTGATCTCCCTCAACTAATAAAATAATGTTTTTGTCACCTTCAAAGGGGGAAAGTTGGTATACCTGTACACCAAAAAGCCAGGCAAGGTTCCAAGATGTGGTGACTGTAAAACTAAACTCCAGGGGGTGAGTGCATTATTGAAGTCTCTAAATCAACCAACTCAGGTGTTTTCTTAAATTTTGATCACCATGGAAGTGAAAATCACCACAAAAGCAGCTAGCCTTGAGCCCTTTCATAATCAAACATTGAAGGGCTTGGGGAATAGCAGACTCAAATAGCTTTTCACTCCATCTTAATTATATTGGGCAGCTTAAAGAGTCTGTCAGCCCACTCTCCTTTAACAAATTCCTCCTCACCCCTCTCAGATAATGTTATTATTTGTTTTTGAAGCTCTGTGTTAACTACTTTAGCATATCTAAGAATATTGTTCCAACTTTGTTTGGGGAGAGGGGAAAGAGACATGTTGTGTCTCAAATAATAGGGAACTTAAGAACCACGACGAAGTTCACGACGACGACGTCTGTTGACTGAGAAAGGACTGGAACGAGAACGTCAGTTTCGGCGGGAAAAAGGAAACTTAAGATGCAGTCGATCAGGTAGGTCAACGACGACGACACTGAATGTAAACAAACATGTAGGAGTAGTACAACTGTGATGTTCCTTCACAACAAAGTTTTTTCGCAGAGGCGTCTTTTAAGACGATGCAAGATCTTATTTTATAAGCCATACGTCTACTTTCATTGACGATGAAGAATTTTTAGTGTTGTCTGACCTTTTCGAATGGAAAAATCTCTGCTTTCCGTACGAAGGTTATTCAACTTTCAACCTGAATGACATGACCGAGTCCGAGTGTCTGTCAGAGTTTAGATTTGGAAAAAGAGACATTCCGATGCGATAGCTGTTTTCTGTATAAAGTTCATTTCCCCTATATTAAAGACATATGATTTGCCTGACCTAAATAGGTACAAATAAATTTGTCACTTATGAGTTCGCTCGCTCGGCCTGCACAGCTCAGTGTTTTCTTCGAAGTAAACACAATTCATCAGTCAAATTTTCAATCAACATCGCTTGTTAGCAGAAAAAAGAAAAGATACCTGGATTTACGAGGTGAAAAAAATACAAAGCCCTTGAAAAATCGCTTTAAGACAGGGAGTTATACCTGCCGAAGCTTGTGGACTGCAGGTCGACGTGACTCTGCTGTGTTTGGCGTCGTCGACGACACCACGACGACGAAATTTGTTAAACGCACTTGCGCAGTGCACGGTATCTCACTTCCGGTCGTCGTCGACAAAGTCGTTGTCGTGGTTCTTAAGTTCCCTAATGTTGTTGTTGAAACTTGAGCTGGGAAGATGCACTTGTGCAACCTGCAATAAACAAGTTCACTTTACTTCTACATGTGTTAAGCTTCAACATGTGCCTGGACTTCCATTAAGATTTCAACTACTAGATGCGAAATCAAACAGCTAGGGATTTCTCTTGGTTTTATTTTCTTATATTTTCTTATGAAAGTAGCCGGGGAAAATCCCTGGCCTCCGTCCTTCAATGACAGTACTGACAAGTGTTGATGGTCATAGACCACACAATAAGAAGCTCCCTTGAAAGAAATTTGATGGTTCATATTTTATATCTGCAGGCATATTCAATAGTCGTGCAACACATTTCTCCACTTGTAAATCATTCTCTGCCCTCTTGAAAGTAGGTTACATTGATAATAATAATGTCTGTTTTCTCAAATGAAAGCAAGCACTTTGTGCTGTACCGAATGGGATAGACAATTTTCTCAAATTGACATCTAATCCATTGCTGTTCACAGTGTGGCATTGAAATGTTACGTAAACATTTCTTTTTATGTAACCTTACCATAAGTAACGTACATGTACATGTAAAGAGCTCTGTTAATTTTCTAACTCCATGGGCTTATTGTGTCAGTATGGCACCAAAGATAAGAAAATAACTTTCCCATCCAAACTATCACATTATGTTGTTATTCTTGGAAAGTTTTCTTACAGTGAGAAAAGGGCATTTCTAAAGGAGCACTGTCATGACACACTTTCAAGTGTGACATGCTGTGCACATTAATTCATGTGTATATTATTTGGTAATAAATGCTTTCTGTTAACCCATTCGCTCCTGGAGATTTTGCCGAAAAACGCGTTTTGAAGCTAGTCGAGTGGTTTTCTGGTCACTGTCGTGCTATAAAGAGCTAAAACTTACCACT